TCCTCTAATATTTTACTCTAAAACTATCGTTATTATAACCTTAACACTATCATTTTTATTTATCAGTTCACATAGCAATTACGTTAAAGATCAATTATCGTACGACTGAGGACTAAGAAACATAACTATGAAAGTTGAAATTAAATTGAATTTTTAAAACTTAGATAGAAAAGTATTAGTCGGAGTGAAATTTCGCTGAAAAAGTCGGTCATTGCTATTGAAATTAACGCGGACATAGAAAATCAATTTCCTCTGTCTTCACTCTTCTTCAACGTGGCATGTTCTCCCTCACCACCTGTCGACGCTTTTCCTGGTCCCCCACCCCCCTCTCCCACCTATATAAACCCCCCTTCAATGTATCAAGAAAACACAAGTCAAGTTTCTTGAACCATTTCTAGTTATTAGCCTCCTTCTTCTTCTTCCTCTGACATTTTTTGAGTTGAAAAACACATTTCAATGGCAAATTTAAAGGCTGTTTTGATTCTTGTAGCAATCATGGCAACTTTGTCAGCTGTAATGGCCCAAGAAGTGTCAACACCGGAACCGGCGCCGGCTCCTGATCAGGGTGCCGGAAACTTCTTGCCGGTTTCAGGGGCGATCGTGTGTTCTTCATTGGCTTTGTCTCTTTTGGCTTTCATCAAGTACTAGATTATTTATCTGTCATCTTCAGATTCGTTCTTACTGAGGATTGGTTTCTTCTTTTACTTTTTTGGGCTATGCTGTGAGAGTATATTTATAATTTTTATTGATTATACAGATTATTATTTGTGTTTAGGTTACATATATAGAGGAATAATAAGAGTATTTTATTTGTTTTGTACGTGCATCTGTATTGATGTATTTGTTCTTCATTCGTATTTACACACTTTTTGTGTCCATATTATTCTTATTCTTGATCGAAGTTATAGAATTGAATTTAAATTTAGTTCTAAAATTATTTTTCATAAACTTAACCAATAATTTATAAGAATGTATTCAAAATAATCATCAATATTTTTTGTCACTTAAAATAGAGAGTGTGATTGAAAAAGAGAAATTTATACATAAACTTAGTTCATAATGGGATTAATAACAGAAAATCCCCCTAAAAACATTTTCAATTGCGATATACCACGAAAATCGCAGAAAATCCACTATTTAAAGTATTTTGTGCGAAAAACCTCATACTGTTCAATTCCACTAACTTTACTGTTAAAAAAAAAGTAAAAATTGTAAAAATAAAAAATGAATAATTACAGTTACGATCCTAAACTTTTTTTTTTATTTTTCCACAAATTACACCAAAATCTTTTATTTATACCACCCATATTCCTAAACCTTTAAAACTTATCTTCCATTCCACTCTCACCTCATCCCACCTCAAGCTAAACAAAAAACTTACAAAATTCTTCCTCCATTTCTATTCCTCTCTCAAACCTTCCTCATGGGGTGTTTGGTGGATATTATTGAGGAAATAATGTATTTTAAATAGTGATATGATGGAAAATATGTGGTTAAAAAGTAAGGAAAAATTATTGATATAATTAATAATGGAGAAAAGAGAAAATTACAATGAATCCTAAATTTCTAGTAATCTCTTTTCTCATATTTATTAAATTGTATAGAAGAACCTAATATTTATACATAACATGTAGGGGATGTACAAACCCTCCTAGTGGAGTTGTTGATGAAATAAGATACTAAAAAATCGAGTCCAAAACAAATTATAACTCTCAATGGACTTCCAAAATAGAACTTCAACTTGACATAGGATTCCAATATCATTCCAAACTGAATTTTTTTTGACGTACACTATAATTAGAATTCTTTAATTACTTTAACAAGAAATTCTAGTCACACCCATATTCTAACATGTGTGTTTGATGGATATTATTGAAAAAATAATGTATTTTAAATAGTAATATGATGGGAAATATGTGGTTAAAAAGTAAGGAAAAATTATTGATATAATGAAAAATATTATTTTATTAAAAAATGTATGATTGAGAATGAATTTTGAGATAATGTGTGTCAAACAGGGGCTCAATCACAATGGAAGTTGTCGTGCACGTAAAACTATAAAAGTCAGACAATAATATATGGAGTTATTTTATGTGGTAAATGTTGTAATTTGGTTTAAAAAAGATATAAAATTGGTTGAGTATTAAATCATGAAAAAATAACATTCGTATCAATTTCGATCAAATATTCGGACTTGATCCAATAGTTAAATTATGAAAAATAAATGCACTAATTTGTTATACTCGTTGAGTAGATCGTCGTAATATATTTGAAATTTTAAAACCAATTTTGAATGAATGAGAAATCGCGGTTCAAAATTGAAAAGAAAAGAGGAAAAATTGATCGGGGAATTTGCCTAACTCCACTGCTCGCCTAGTGTGTGAATGGTGAGTTAATTATAAGACTGTCGCTCGAACGACATGTCTTTGCATAAAATAACATCGCGGCGCTCGAGCGAGGCATCAGCGGTAGGCTAGTAACATAATGGGTTGCAATCCTTCATGAAGGCTGGTGAGTTCTTGGGCGTATCTTTACACTCACATCCTATTCTCTTCTATAAATAAGACCCCGTGGTGCCTATTGCTTCATCCCAATGATATGCAATTATAGCATAACATAAAAATCCATCTCTTCTTAGCCGAAATTTTGCATAAAAAAAAACTGTTTTTCCATTTCATTCGAAGGGAGTACAAAAACTATCTTTTGGTTCGTTGTTCTTGTGTTTTTGGAGTGCTACAAATATATGAAGGTAGTTTTTGTATCTTGGGAGTTGATTCCCATCATCTGTAAGCACTATAGCAGGACAAAATCGACTTAAGGACAAATAGAACTTAATATTATTATAAAATCTACCCATCACTCCCATCTGCCCACCCCCACTACAGTACCTATTATAAAATTGACTTATTAATAATATTATAAAATTTACCCATCGCTCCCATCTGCCCACCCCCACTACAGTACCTAAAATATTTTCCCCCCTCTCTCTTTCCTCATTCACACCTCTTACATTCTTCCTCGCGCGGCGACGATGATGAGAAAACCACCGCCACATGCTCGAATCTTCTACCTCTGTATCAATCTTCTTTCACATGGCCACCTACAAAGTGGCATTTATAGAGCCGCCGCACGTAGCGATGATGATGGAAAAAACAGTCGCTGCGCGCTTGAACTGAATCCCTAGACGAGGTTGCTATTTGGTGGCATAGATTCATCAATGGATGATAGCGTTGCTTTGGTTGGTATGCTGCAATCTGGTGCACGGAGACGCTGGTTCCGGATCTAATGTTCATCCGCCCTTCGTCATTGCTCAGCGCGATTTGGTGCGATCTATGACGGTAGTGCTGTGGTGGTGGTTTTTTATTGGATTTGTTGGTATTTGGAGTGGTGCGTGATTTGTGATGGTGGTACCGTGGTAGTGGTTTGTGGTGGTGGTTTTTGTTGGATTTGTTAGTTTTTGGAGTGGTGGTAGCTTTTCATGTTTTGGTGTTGGAATGGTTTTTGTTGGCGGTTGTGGTGGTTGTGGTGATGGTGTAAGGATGGCGTCACAACGACGAGGTGGGATGAAGAGTGTTTTTTAACTAACCGTTTATGTGTGTGTGAACAACTATTTGATGATGGATCGAAATCGGAGGTTTGGGTGGGGTGGGGTGTTTGGTATATGTGACCAACCATTTAATTGTAACCTAAAAATTCAATAATTTGTAATTGAAAAATATTTTGTGAACAACTAATTTGAAAATTCGTGACCTACAAATTTTTTAATTTATGATTGTAAAATAATCCTGACTAATTAATTTGATAATATGTGATCAATAAATAAGTTGTAACCTATAAGTATGTACATGTGACCATTAGATGTGTAATTGTGACCTTGATATATTTAATTAATAAAATATTAATAATTATTTATTTATGACTCGAGTTTTGAATTTTGAAACTTTAAACTTGAAAATTGAATTGGTTCATAGTTAATTCTTGAGTTGTGAATTTTTTCCCAAAGTGGAAACCCAAAAGTTTTGGGCCAAAACCAAACCACTTACACACCTAAGTGAAAGAATATGACTAAGTAACAAAATTTAAAACTTTCTGTCACTTGCAACTTAAAACAAATTAAAATTCAGTTACCCACTTGTCATTTCATTGAAAATTGATGAGATTTACCTGTACAACTTGCTAAAAATGACTAGCAAGTTAACACCAGGAAATTCAAATTATTACACCTGGTCCAATGAGAAAAAAAAATCAAATTCAAACAATTTATTGTGTAGAGGTATAATATAATGAAAATACATGCCAAGACAACTGCCAAATTTGACATCACAAACCAGATTACCCTAAAAAAATCAGTGCCAAACATATTGTACACTGTTAACTTTTAATGCGGTAAATAGTCCGGCTACATGTAAAACCATTTTTCACAAATTTTATTTTGATGACCTTCGTATTAACTAAGCAATATGTAAAAAACCATCAATGATTGATCCCATAGTTTTCGATACTTCCAATAAATAACATCTCGGTAATATTGTACAAATTATTTATATAGTGGAGTGGTAGCCTCGATCCGACGGTTCATTCAATGGAAGAATTGCTGTATCTGAAAGTATCAAGAAAAAACAACACGTGTTAAAAATCGAAAAAGGGCAAACCTTTTCATTGTTCTTTCTATATTATTAGTAAACAAGATCTTGAGAGCTTTTTTAACCCCCAACCGAAAAAAAAAAAAGAAAAAGAAAAAAGAGGCTGCATTCTTTGTCTTCTCCCTCGAGCCCATATCAATTGTCCCCAATGACACATCAGTACATTCTCTCTTCTTAACAAATGGGAAAACGTTAAGGAGTATTCTGCACAGGTGTCAAAAATGTATTGGGGTTTACTAAGGATACATGAAGTTCGGGACAACAGATCTCAACTCCTTCTATCCATAGCGTCCCATGTTGTTAACTGGGCCCTAGGTGAATAGGTGAAGCTAATAAAAACCAAGGTCAAGCAACTCTTTACGAGAATATTACTACAAGTCTCAGAATGATATTATCTTCCAGAATTTCGGTAATGAAGTACCTAATCAACAAAGATAAAGCAACAAAAACAGTAAATATTTTCAAATGCTGCCTTAGTGTTCCTATACCCTTGAATACCTATTATTTTTCTCTTCAAACGCAGTCTACGACTCAAGGGAGGATTTCAAGTAAATAAACACAAGTAAAATTCTTATAAAAGAAGGATTACCATAATGAAAGAGTATGCAACAAAAACTAGAATCTCACCTTAGGTAAAAGCAACTTTGTACCCGTCAATAATTCATATTCTTCTGTATAATAGTGATTTTTTGGAGAATGTGTGGTTAAAAAGTAGAAACAATTGCGGACTACAATTTTTTTTGGAGAATGTGTGGTTAAAAAGTAGAAACAATTGCGGACTACAATTTACGATGATACTGAAGCTTAAAGGGCCTTCCAGGAATGATAATAGAAATATGGCACATGCAAAACTTCACAATTAAATGATTGAAAGAAACATATGGAGTGTAAATGTACTACTGCAGTTGGACGCACAATAAAACGTAAGGTGTAACTGGAAGAGACAAGTTACACGAGATCAAGCTTCAACCCCATATTTATTTATATTGATGCTACAGATGCACAATCTTTTAAGAACACAAATGGAATAATCTAAAAATCGGAAACTCAGAAAAGTTACAGGCAATTGTGGAAGTAGTACAGGAAAACAGACCTGAATATTTCCAGGAAACTTTAAAGCTTCTACCGACGGATCTGTAAATTACTAAGAAAGTCCGAGAGCCTGAAAGCATCATCGTTGAACACGAATAAATGGACCAGACAAGGAAAAAGGGAAACACAATAAAAGAACTGAGTAAGAACACAAATTAGAGGAAAAACACAAACCTGACATTTTTAGCAATCACCGTGTTTCCATCTTCTGCCCCAAGATGGCGAAGAACCACTTCCTCCAGCTGACCATCACGATCTGCATGCTGTAAACGTGGAACACATGTACAAAGTAATTAGGGTTTAAATAGTAGCAAATGTTAGAATAATTCTATTATGTGGACTTCCATTTGATTGCGAATTTTACGGGTTACATGTATGGTTTGTAATGATACTATAATTAGACCAATATGTTAGTGATCACGTGGGTCGTTATACACCTTACATACTTTATTATTTATAATGTGGTAATTTTAAGTATGTGGGTCGGAATTAAGTAAACTCTAATTATGGTTAGGGTCGGTAATGAGCCGACTTTATGATTTCCTATATAATGCTAAGTCCCCTCTCTTCTCCATATGATTTTGGCTTGCTTCATTGACGGCTGATTATTTGTAAGGAGCAAGAAGAAGAAGATTTAACTGGTAATATTCATAAATAATAATGTCTTCCGCATGTATGAATTTCGAATTATCAATTAACATACACTAAGAATAACTTAGTATGAATATATTGAATAATTTCAACAATTGGTATCAGAGCGGACATGCTAAAATTAGAATATTTTAAATAAAAAAAATATAGAATAAAATTAAAATAAAATAGATTTGTTGAATTTTCGTCTCCTCTCTTGCTCCTCCATATGTGCATATATGTTTTTGCAATTACCACTAAGATAATTACAAACTGCATTTCAATTAAGAGTTATGCTAAATGTACACAATGAGTTATACAATGGATTACATCCCCTTACATGGAGGGGAGCCCATACACAATAAAATATTCGTAGGCCCCCTCCATATAAAGAAGATATAATCCATTATGTAAACCATCGGATGTACGTCTAGCATATTTCTTCAATTAATTGTATACCCACAATCTTGTACATACACACATATAAGCATACAGAGAGGGAGAGTTTTGTACTATTGGTTTTCACTGTTACAATCATCATTAACGAAGCTGGTATTTCGCTTCTGCCCTCTTTCGTGCTTCCCTGTCTGTATGCGTATGTGTGTATAAATAGTTGATTCACTGTGATATCTGCTTCTCGCCTCTGCCCTCGTTCGTGCTTCCCGTCTGTGTGTATGTATATATCTTCTACCAAATCCATTATTTGAATGCTGGCTTCTGGGAACCTCGAGCAAAATCGCAGCGTGCTCCCTGTCCCGCTGCTTGTTTGGAGCAACTTGCGCACACGCTGCTGCAGCAGCGTGCTCGCTGTCCCGCTGCTCGTTTGGAGCAGCTTACTATCGCGCACGCTGCTGCGATGCAGCTTGGGGCTGCATTTTTTTTTTTGCAGCCGCCGATTGCCGGTCTCATGGGCTGCATGGATATGGATTAGGACGGCGGTGGCGGCAAGAGAGAAGAGAGAACTAGTCTAGGGTTTTGTCAAGATTTTTTTTTCAATTGATTTTGGAGACGGGGGCCTCTCTGCAAATTCTGATTCTTTGGGGGCTTACGTGCAATTATGAAAAGGGAGATTTTTCTTGCAATTAACAATCATGGCTCCTCCTGCAATTTGTGGATTTTAGGGGGTTCTCCTGCAATTTAACCTAGGGTCAATCTGTAATTTATAATAATAAGGACCTGTTATGTAATTATAAGTTTTGTGGTCCTTTTCATAATTTTAATTTTGGGATCAAATTTTGAAATATTAAATTTAAAGTTTTAAAAATGAGATTTTTAAACTTGATCCACTATGTTTCAATTTCGATCTAAAATTAAAATTATATTTAAAATTGACCACTTTATATTTTGTTGAAATATTTTAAATGTCGTTGCTAATTGTCCATTTAAATTTCATTTTCATATATTGAAATTTAGTTGTCAATTTCGTCTCACAATTATGAATGAATTTTATTTTTGATCGTTTGATGATTGTGATTATTATAATTAAATTTTTTGTGAAATACAAATCTATCTTAGTGCTCCCATTATGAGAAATATTGTTGAAATAAAAGTGGGTGGTAGCTGTCAAAATGACACACTTATTTTTATTTATTTGGTTTTCTTCAAAAAAAAAAAAAAAAATTAGCATCGTATTTTTGAATTATTACATATAGTATTTTGCCCAAAGGTGTTATTATGATTTATATGTGATCTTTTTTGGAAATTGACATAAAATAGTATTTTCCATTATCTTTGGGCATGTTTGATGGTACAAATTTTTTCTAGAAATTTTTTTCCACAATTCTCTCACACATGTGCCAATTCCATGATTTGGTGGAATTGAATGAATTTCATGTTGCTGTTTTTTATTTTTTTGGCAATGGAAATACATTTCATAATCAATTGTAAAAAAAATTTTCACATTAATTGACAATTTTCATGTAAAATAAAGTCAAACGAACATTAAATTTTGATTAAAAAAATGATTTTTTAGGAAAAAAATTTTCATTTTTTTTTTTACTTTTTGGCAATGGAAACAAATTTCATAACCAATTATGGAAAAAATTATCACTTTCATGGATAATTTTCATGTAAAATAAAGTCAAACAAACACAAAATTTAAAAATTTTTCGGATGGAAAATTATATCAATCAAACACACTTAATTTCCAATTCCCTGGAAAACAATTTCTAGACAATTACTTTCCCTGTAATTCATTTTCTTTCCATCCATTTTTCACCATTGCAATCAAACGGACCCTTAACGATTTTAATTGGTCTAGAAATCTCCTTCCACCCAAAGATGGTGTTTCGAAAACCAATCTATTTTGTTCACTAATTTGATTGTTTGTTTTAAGAGTACCTTACAGCATGTTATATTGTTAGCCCAAATGCGACTTTATAATGATGCATCTAGGTTCTTACCGTAATGATTTTAATTTATTTTGACTTTAATTACGGATTATCTAATTATTTAGCCCATGTTAATTAGATGAATATGTTATCATCCATTGTCGGCATGCACTATATTTGGATGATATTAAACATGTTATTTTAGGTTTCCACAGTTTTAAATGTCTCAGTTCTTTCGAGTCAATTGTCTGCTATTGAAACCTTGACTGTGAATAACTATGTGAGATGGAAATGAGATGTAGAAATAGCACTTGATCTTTTGGGGTTGAATTTTGCAATAGAGAAGCAGCTTTCGAAACTCACAGATAAAAGCGATCCTGGATATGAAGTTGAGTATGAAAAGTGGGAGATGGCTAATAGATTTTGTTTGAAAATTATTAAGCGCTCCATATCCGATTTCATTATGGGTGCTATTCCGGATAATGAAAATGTTAAAGGTTTTGTGGATGCAATAGGATTGAGATTTGTTGAGTTTGATAAAGCTGAAACTAGATATCTGATGGACAATCTGATGAATATGAGATATGAAGGTATAAGTGGAGTTAGGGAGCACGTTATGAAAATGATTAATATATCTTCTAAATTAAAGGCTCTTAGGATTCCCATTGCTGAGCCTTTTTTGGTTTATCATGTTCTGAATAGCCTTTCGAGCCAGTTTAATCAGCTGAAGGTTGCTTATAATGCTTAAAGAGATAAATGAGATTTGAATGACCTTATTGTTGTATGACAAGAGGAGTATAGGTTGAGGCGTGAAAATGTCGAAACTGTGCAATTAGCTTTTCAGCCACCACAAAACAAGGGGTATTTTCATAAACACGAGTCTAAGTTCCACAATGGCGACACACCGCGATCAGCAGAACAAAATTTTGTAGGTCAAACTTCTGGTGGTTCCAAAGGAGCGATAAAGAAAAATGATCAATGCAAGTCCTGCAAGAAGAAGGGTCATTGACAGAAAGATTGTTTTAAGTTTAAGATTTGGTTGGAGATGAAGAAGAGTTCCGTAGGGGTTCACGAGCAAACGAAGGCCAAGTGAGAATGAAGTAAGCCTGTGCGTTGGGAATGAAGTTCAAATGAAGGTTGAGTTCATAGGAATAGTGAAGTTATTTTTGAAGTTTGACGATGTTGTGACTTCTCTTGGTTTTGTTGAAAATACAGTTGATCAATGTATTTATCTTAAAATCAGTGGGAAAAATTTTATTTATCTTGTCCTGTATACAGATGACATTTTACTTACAAGCAGTGATTTGGCTCAGTTGAATCCAAGGCAAGAGCATTGGAGAGTGGCTAAGAAAGTTATGAGATACTTAAAAAAATTTGACAGTTACGTGCTGACTTTCCAGCTTTCAAATCACCTTGAGGTGGTAGGTTGCTCAGATTCTGATTTTTTTGGATGTCAAGATGATTTGAAATCCACCTCGGGTTATATTTTCATGTTGGCTGGTGGCGATATCTCGTGGAAAAATGTTAAGCAGATTCTAGTGGCATCTTCAACTATGCAAGCTGAATTTGTGGCATGTTATGGAGCTACAATTTAAGCCATTTGGTTAAGGAACTTTGATTCTAGGCAGAAAGTTGTTGACTCCATCTCGAGGCCAATCACTATTTATTGTCATAATAGAGCAACAGTGTTCTTTTAAAGAAACAATAAAAGTTCTAGTGGATCGAAACACATTGACATCAAATATTTGATGGTCAGGGACAGAGTCAAGGAAGGGAAGACGAAAATAGAACATATTAATACGGAGGCTATGATTGCAGATCCTTTAACTAAGGAACTCACTCCTAAATTTTTTACGACACATGTTGCTAATATGGGTACTGTGGAAACCTTTGATATTTTTGGTTAGTGGGAGTTATTTATGTAAAGTAATCCATATGTTCTTCGGGTACAACCCCTTCTAATAATAAAATATATTTTTCCATATCCATAAATTATTTTGAGCATGCATTTAACTTATGTCTTATATCATGATATTATTTTGATCTTGAGATATGACAGTTAAAGACATAAGGTGAGTATCTTTTAGAGACACGTGACTTCATTTTGATTAGAAGCATTTTGATGACCGATATGAATTAGTACAATTTTGATAACATTTGGTGCTAAGTTCATACTATATACTACCACATTGGTTGGAGGATGGGGATCCATGTCGATAAAGATTTTGGCTTGTAGCTGTGGAGTGGTCTTACATCGTTGATTGGTGTAATGACTTGCATGTTCGATGTTAAGATTCTTGTTGGACTGGATCATATTGTGTAAGATGCTATCATTGCAGCTATATTTGTGTGGACACCTATGTAGTCTGACCCGGAGGTTAAACGTTTTGCTCTATAGCAGTCAAATGTTTGCTCAAGTGGGAGAATGTTAAAATAATTTTATTATGTGAGCTTCCATTTGATTGCTAATTTTATGGGTTAAATGTATGGTTTGTAATGATACTGTGATTAGACCCAATATGTTAGTGATCACGTGGGTTGTTGTACACCTTACAGACTTTATTATTTATAATGTGGTAATTTTAAGTATGTGGGCCGTAATTAAGTAAATCCTAATTAGAGTTAAAGTTGTTAATGAGCCGACTTTATGATTTCATATAGAATGGCTAGGTCACATCTCCTCTCCATATGGTTTGGTTTGCCTCATTGACGGCTGATTATTTGTGAGGAGCAAGGAGAAGAAGATTTAGCTGGTAATATTCATTTATAACAATGTCTTCGGCAGGTATGAATTTCGAACTATCATTTAACTATGTAATTCTTATTCTTAGTATGATTGTATTGAATAATTTCAACAGCAAAGGCACGCATATGAGGCGAAAAGCACGGAATACGAGAACATCATGATACATTGATTTTACGGGACAATCCCATACATTGAAAATGAAAGGCAGGCTATATAAAATCTCATCCTTACAATCACATATCTAATCTTTTTTTTTCGGCCCTTAGTTGTATATCTCAATCAACATCGTAGAATTCATTAATTAATTTTGAATTGGCAACTAGACTGCAAATAAAGTAGTTTAATCGCTGAAGTTCAATTTGCAACCAAAGTGCAAACTTGGTTAGATGAAAATTAATATGCCGTTTTATTTTGCACAAATGCCGGTTTAGTCCTTCAACACAAATGACGTATTAATACAACAAAATTAAGAAAAGCAAAAGGGGAAACTTGTCTCACCAATCACTCTTAAAGATCTTCATAACAAGAAAGTTTCAATGGTGATTCGTAATTAATTGATCAAGGCCAGATAAAACCTGGACTTTACTTCCCCAAGTTTAATTGACATCCTTCTCTATACTTGAA